GTTCGAATCCCAGGTTATGTCTAAAACAAAAAGTAGACATTTATTAGAATTTATAACATCCCTATGCTTTTTTGTCTAAGTCATCAAGGCAAAAAAGCATAGCGTAGGGCCCTGAGCTTCCAAGCGCTCTCGTTGTACATATTGCTGATGGCAATTGCGGAGTTTCGCCTACCTGTACTGCACAGTAACTCAGTGTGACGTTAAACTAGTCTTGTCTCAAATAGCATGTATCCTGCTGTCTCAGTTCCTGCCAAAAACAGTTTATCAGGATACCGACACAAGCTATTTTGTTTCTCAATCTCGGCACAGATATCTGTTTCGGTCTTGCTAGATTTCGTCTGCGGAGCTAAGAGTTAGGGGTCGAACCTAGCGTAACGGTTAGCATAACAACAAAGCATTCACGTTTTGGTAATAATAAAATGCTTGCTGCAAGAGAAATGTTTGCTCCTTTTACAAGTTTCGCAATCGATACGTTGTTGTTGCTGTTGTTGAAATTTTGTTTTGTATCGCAGACCAAACGGGCAATGGTGCCCAATATTATGATGGCGATAAAGTAACGGCCGAGAGCCAAGGATACAACAAGCAAGCCTCCACGAAAGAGAGAAAAACACAGAAAACACAGACTGCAAATACTCAAAAAGAAAAAGAGAAAGGGAACAAAAGAAAAAGAAAGAAGAAGGAAGCACAGTTGAGTCACAGTTGAAGCACAGTTGAGTCACAGTTGAGTCACGACTCCAAGTCCAAGCCTAGATGCTGGCTAACCATAAAAATAAACCTTTAAAAGTCTCTTGAATGATCTATGGCAGGCGAGGGACTTGAACTCTTGGGGCAGGGCGTTCCATAATTTAACAGCAGAAACGAGCGGCCGACACTCACCAGAGACTCGCCTGGTGGCAGGGACAACATACGCATTTGGATCGTTGATCCGAGTGACGCCTTCAGTCTGGCGACGTAGGCGCTTGGACAGGAGATTACTAATTCTGGTGGTGTGGATACGAAGCATGAGGAGGCGGAGTTTACAGTGGGCGTTTTGGATGATGGGGATGAGGCCTAGACGGGTGTAGATGGGATCCGTGTGGGAGGGGAATGGCTGGTTGGCAACGCAGCGGATACATCGCTTGTCGAGGACCGAAAGCTGATGCCGTTGGTGCGCAGAGAGAACCGAGAAGAAGGCATTAGATCCATACAACATGTCCGGTAGTATTAACGATCTGTAAAATAGCAAGGCTTGTTGCTCAGTTAAGCAGGAGCGAATGGCTCGCAGCGCCGTCAGTTTCTGGGAGGTCTTCCGTGTAATAGCTGCAACTTGAGTCTCCCACCGAAGCTGGGTGTCGAGATGTAGACCTAGATATCGAGCATTTGTGGTCTGAGCTAGGGGATTTCCATTGCATTCTATGTTAAGTAACAAGGGCTGCCTGCGAGACGCATGAAGGGCTAGAACGTGGGTTTTGGAGGGATTTAGTATTAAGCCTCTTTCTTCCAGAAAGTTGGCCAGGTTGGAGACTGAACGGGAGAGGGTTAAATTCAGGAATTCGACGGATTGACTGATGGGGTCTAGCAGGATATCACAGATGCAAATCCACACAATCATTAATTTTTACCAGGCTAAAACCTTTGTCTGCTGATTGGCGTAAACTTCATAAAGTGCGATGAGAAACGAATTCTATGTTTTCTCCGTTACAAACCTGCATCAGCATATCACCAAATTCTGTTCATATTCTGCAATCAAAACCAATGGGTGTTATTCAAGCTAAACTTTTGTATAGTTAAAGCATTACACTTTATGCTTCTCAGACCAAGAAACGTAGGCATGAGTTTGGTATATTGAACGCATGCACAGTTCTACGATTTATGGACAAGTTGCATGGTTTACAAGGGACTGAGTAGGAAGGGTTAGGAGTGACTAAACAGATAATTGAATACATATAAGGTCATACTAGGACGTGAACATATTATCGAATACATCGCGGATTGTGGAGAAAGCGCCGACTTAAGAATTTTTGGGCATGGCGATACAGTTATGATCGATTACGTCACATGATGTCACATGACGCAGCACTTGAATCTTGACCGTCGCGTACGTATGCGTAGTGGCCTGGGGCGAGTACCATCACGTGACACTAACGGTTCCATGTTTGGTCGTTCCGTTGGATCGGCGCGTACCCGTACGTACCTGGCACGCACGAGCACGGTGCATGCGTCGCCTTCTACTTGCATCGATGTGCCGTCAAGTTCCAGGGTTACCCACAGCATTCTGGGCGTCACGTGATCCATACTATACTGTCCAACTGACATGGACGCTTGTGTAGGATCGAAGGTCGGCATGAAAGACCGGTCCGTGTTCTTCCAAGTGTCCTCCACGACACGTCCCATGCCGAAACTGAAGAATGCGTAGGCGCGTCTTGCAGCAGCTGGCAGAGTTAATGTTTCTACAGCTCCTTGAGTGAAGATATCGATCTGGGCCTCCGGGTGCAAGAAATCTCTACTCCATTTGTACGTTGTGCTGTTATGACGCACTATCCAAATCTCCCTGCGTTCATTCCTGCCTATGATCTGCTTGCAGAACGTCTCGCCGGCTTTGCTCAACAATACATTCAAAGGACTAATGACGGGTTCGGGTTCAGGTTCGGGCTCGGGCTCAGGTTCGGGTTCAGGTTCCGGTTCTGGCTCTTCTAAAATGACATCTTCTCGATACCGCCTCCGGCTTCTCCGCCTCTGTCGTCCTCCAGCCCCCATAGCTGATGGATCCTGATGAAATCCTACTTTCCGCCGTGGTTCTTGGCGGCTATCTTGTCCTGTGCCAGTATTAGAGGCAAAAAGATCATTTCTTGCTATTTGATTATCCCTTTCTCTGTTTTCCTCAGCATACAATGGTGGAGAACTAGAAATCGCCATCCTTCCACGAGAGAATCCAGGCGGTTGAGCGTGTTGTTCCACTACTGGGTCTTGTCGATGGGTTGTTGGGTGAACGTGCCGTGTCTGGCTGTGACCACTAATCTGCTCAGAAACCTGTGGATGTGTTCCTTCTTGTCCGTCTCCCCATATGAAAGATTTCCATCTGGCCGTGTGAGCGGCGACTGCATCTTGCTGTTGGGCGGGTTGTTGCACAGTCACACCCGGACCTTGACGGGTGACATCTTCTGGCGTGACGACATGGCGCGCATTCTTCACACGTACTGGATGCTGGTCGCCTTTCCAAATGCGCTGAGCAGAATCATCCGTCAGATTCATTGTGTCCTGTTGCTCGGGTGGAGAGTGCACGGTCAACTCCGGAGATTGGTGCGACGTTCCGGTTGGCAGTAATGGCTTTTCAGAGTCCTTTATGTTCACTGGATCTTGGGCACTTGCTGTTGGGGCATTATGCGGAACCGATTTCCCGGCCAGTGCTCGATGTTGTTCGGATGGTGATTGTTCACAGACCTCAGCTGCTACTTGCTGGGACATTTCTGATTGAGTAGTCGGCTCTTCATCTTGGTCTTGTGCTATGGGATGATTCGCTTGAACCGCTGCATCGGCCAGTGCTCCCGGGTGTTCGGGTGGTGATTCCTCACTCACTTCATCTGAAAGTTTCTCGGGCATTTCAACCTGCACATTCGGCTCGTCATCTTGGGCTTGTGCTATGAGAGGATTCTCCTGAATTGGTTCGGCCGCCAGTGCCTCTTGTTCTTCGGGTGGTGAGTCATCATTGACATCATCTGCAAGTTCCTGGGGCAGTCCTACTTGCAAGTTCGGCTTATCATCTTCGCTTGGATGTATCGGTTTGGTTATTGCTGGCATGATGATGTTGAACAGCTTTGAAGCTCCGGTTGGCTCATTACCGTGGGCTACTGCTCTTGGTGCCGAATGATGCCGATTGATGATGCGTTAAAAAGTCTTCGCTCCAGTTCCCGTTCTTGCTGCATGATACGCTTGTTAAACTCTCGGTTGATCTGATGGGCTTGGCGGTAGCTGCTGAGGCTTCAGGCGCAAAAGCTGGAGCTAGACGGCTGTTGTTGGCCACTCTGTGGAGATGGCTCTTCTCTCTCTGGTCTAAATAGAGATGAGCGCTAGTTTCGTGTAACAAACGTCGTGAAACGATGTGCTAAATCTAATGTCGACGCCATCATAAATATTGGGCGAAAGTGCTTGTGACCCAGCGCATTGTCCAATGTACTCATGGGGATGATCCCATGTTACTAAAACTCGCAGGTTGTTCCAACGATTGCACAGTGGCCTAAAAAAGAATTACACATCTTTTTCTACGCTGTTCCCGTGGTAACGTTATGAAAAAGCCGCTAGTGTACTGCCATCAGGCAGATGTAAGGTCTGGGCACTGTTTTGGAGGCTATCCTACACGTCCTATTCAATGTATAGCACGATCTGTCAAAAACGACATTACCAAAGCAAAAACTGTACAGCCAGGCGTTTGGCTTCCCGCCACGCTTACGCGTACTGCTTGCAATCTCTATTGCGGTGTTTCTAAGTTGATTTCCATAGCATAATCATGTAAACGTGAATTTTCTCAGAGAGACGGACAAAGTGCAGAATTGCACTTCGATTTGTTGGATATAGCCGAAATCTACTCAGGAACTTAGGTGGCTATCACAAGAGATTGTGTGTGCTGAAGGAAAAATTAGCTTAGTGTTTGTTTATTCAATCTGCGGACAGCACTGTTTCACCCTTGGTTTATCAAACTTTTTCCTAACTCTAATCACGACTAACGGCTTAGCACATATCTCTAGCCTGGGAACACTCTTTCGCCTGGAGGCTACACCTCACCACCAAATAGCATGTTGCGGTTCTGTAGACGTTCAAATAAGAATTAGAGCCCGGTGATCACTCGACCCAGGAGATCTGATCATTAATAGCAGAAAAATATATTGACTTATAACTGGAGAAAAGGAGCGAAAGTAGAATCTAGAACGTCAATCATTATTTTGTTCAATGCAAACGAAACAATTATGTGATGTTTATCGCCGATTTGTTTTTCGGTCGGACAGGTTACCAAAAAAACAACCTGATTAACGGAAGCTGATATAACATGGACATGACACAGGCACCATAGGAAGAAAAATAATGGTTGCAGACATGCACGCAAAACAATGACCAAGTACAGAAAATAGTATAGAAATTTGGTTTTTATTGGGCATTGTACTTTCCAACATCCGCTCAGAGTATAGTACATTTGGGGCATCTGCGATTCTGTTCATCGATCTCTTCAAGTCCAAGGAAAGAAGGCTTTAGTTTAAAAACTCTCGTTCCGGGTGTGTGTTCTGCTGTGACTCTCATCCTCAGCCGAAAGGTTCGCGTGAAGCCAGCGCGGCGGTACTGACCTATGGATGTCGCCATTTTAGAGTTGGAATTCTCGTCCAGCGTAGGTGGCAGGTTATCCCAGGTCCCATCCACTAGAGTTCCCACGTCACGGACTATACGGTACGCTTTGTGGTTCTCCTCTGGAATTGAGCATTGAAGTGTCTGCAGTGTTCCTTCCGCTGTTACCTCCACCACAGTACGTTGACACAGAAAGTGCTTCGGCCAAATGATGCTTTGATGGTCGGAACGGAAAACGATGCAATCCCGAAGGAATACCCGCCCAAGAAATTGCTCGCAAAAGATTTTTCCAGCCCAATACCGGAATAGTCCCGCTGTCATGACAAAAGACAGCTGGCGCTGCAAGGTATGGTGCCTCTCCACCTGCTGGTCATCCGACCTCGGGTTGTGTTGCTGCTCCGCACTATGGTTGTGTTGGCCCGCGGACCTCGGGTCGTGTTGCTGCTCCGCACTATGGTTATGTTGCTCCGCGGACCTCGGGCTGTGTTGCTCCTCCGGCCTCGGGTCGTGTTGCTCCTCCGGCCTCGGGTCGTGTTGCTCCTCCGGCCTCGGGTCGTGTCGCTCCGCGGACCTCTGGAAGTGTTGCTCAAGCTGCCTTTTGCCCTGCTGTTCCCGCTGCTCCTGTGTCGGCTGCAGTCGTTCGGCGAACTGGTCTTGTGGTGGTGGCTGTTCGCCGTCAACATGGTTTGATTCCGACCCGTGTGCAACTGGAGGAGTAGGTGTTCCTGCCTGCTCAGTGTCTGAACTCACCCTCCTGGATAGTGTGCCGGAATTCTCTGCGTTTTCCTCATCGTCTCCTGTACCCACCGGCACGTGACACGTCCCAGTCAGATACATCTTTCCGCAATCCCTCTGGTATCGCTTATTCACGGTCCATGCCAGCTGCTTGATGTGGGCAACTTAAAAGCTGCTATGGCACAACGGTCATAATCGTTTCTAGGCAACGTAGAATCTACACGTGTCTTGGCGTTAATCCGCTAAACGTTTGCCACGATCAATTGCATACAAAAATGGTCAACATAAGCAGAGAAACCAGAGATATATTCACCCAGTACGTTTGGGCGTTGATAGTTGGTGCTAGGATTCGGGACATAGGGTCTTTACATGTCTTGCCGTCTATCTACTGACGCTCGGCGCTAATAATTGCTCGCTATAATGCTCCAAATAGGCAGGGAATCAAGAGATATATTCACCCAGTACATTTGGGCGTTTATAGTTGGTGCTAGGATTCGGGACGTAGGGTCTTTATATGCCTTGCCATCTATCTGCTGACGCTCGGCGCGATCAATTGCTCACTAAAATGCTCAAAATACGCAGGGAACCAAGAGATATAATTATTCACCCAGTACATTTGGGCGTTGATAGTAGGTGCTGAGATTCAGGACGTAGGATATCTATCCTGTCTTGCCGTTAATCCGCTGGCGTTTGGCACGAACAATTGCCTGCGACAATACTCAAAATACGTAATAGAATCAAAATGGATAGTCATCCAGTTCGTCGGAGCGATGATTGTACTGCACGACACGCTAACCTCTTCACCTTGTACCACTTTGTACCTGGTGCTAGATAAACGTTATGAAGTTTGTTGCTCCAACGAGGAGCACACGCTTTTTGCCGAACTTGACACTTGACTGACTCACGACTGCCATCCGGAGCACACAAGGAGCATGTCGCACCTTCCGCTCCGCAAATCTGCATGACTAATACCGCCGAAGTCGCAACTTCTAAATTAGATAAAATGTTGTTTTGTTAAAACCACGTTGTTGGTTGGCCACATGTTACATGGCGGAGGACCGTCGTGTTCGGAAACAGTGACCTTGGCACAGCCCCGGTATCGCGACCACCCGAAGCTCTAGCACCTATACTGTTCGGATGCTCGCAAGGCCAGGGCTCTACCACCCACGGATGGTGGTAGTAAGGTGACTGTTTCCGAACACATACAGTGGTCATCCGCGGTGTAATATGCTGTCAACCAACACCTTGTACCTGTAGCGGGAAATGGATGCAAAGCGAATCACATCTCTGATTACGGCTTAGTTTGGGACCGTGAATTCCACACTTTACTCAAGTGAGAAGCGGTAATAGGAGATTTACTCGACAGGCAAATCCACGTGCACCGGAACGTTGCCATTGTATCATACCTGTGAACGAGAAAAGTTGCTGAAAAGTGCAAGCGAGCTGGGGCCCCACTTCCACGATAACTGTGGCGTGCACGAGTACATTTACACCAAACAAGCGCGAAACAAGACTTGATTTTTTCAACATGATAATTATTGATAATTAGTGTATGTGTGGTTTGAAATTTGAAATACCCTTTGCTACTGGTGGGTGAAACATTCTGAAATGCAAATGTGCCTGTTGTCAAGTGCAGCCGTGTGAATTAGGGTTCAAACGGCTACGGTTTTCACCTTTACGGTTAACTGCTACACTAACGGTCGGTTTATTGGTTATAACCTATAAGCTGTGCCTGCCTGGTCAGTGGTTTGGTCAAAGACCATGATTGAGATACGAGAGGTACCTGGTTCAAGTCCTGCCTGGGAGCGGTGTTTCCAGCCGTGCTGCTACCCACAGTCAATTGGGAACTTGTGGCCAGGCACAAGGGGTACATGGATGCAGCTAATGGGGTCGTTTTCGGCACTTGTGTCAGTGGTTGTGAGACTTGCCCACTCACCCCCACCGTTAGGCGCTGCATCTGCCGCTAGGGTTTATCGGGTGTTAGCGGCCGTCGTGAGTTCCCTTCGGGAACGGATACGATAATTTACCTTATAAGCTGCTGCAGTCTGGGGCGTAGCTAGTTTGACAGTAGATGTATTGTACCATATTATTTTTATAATTGTGATTTCATTATTGAACAATATGCTTGGTTAAAAATGTACTGTGCAGACTTACTACTAAGTACTATTCCATGCAGCACATGTTGTCATGCGCATTCACGCCTATTCACAGACCAGAAACATTACAGATGGCATGAAATTGGTTCAAATTGTCACGGATGGTACTATGTAGTGTGCATGTATGCATGGGCACATACACGAGAAGTTGTAAAACTGCCAAAACTCGGTAAAAATGCGTACTTCGAAAACTCGAGAAGTACCCGCGTAACCTGTACACATTACAACCGGTTTACCTTTATCTTTCAGTTTTAATTTACTGCTTGAGCCCTAGTGTGAATCCACACAGTCACCTTTCTCGTAAATCACTCCTTGTAAAACGTGCAAGTGCTTGTTGTGTGAATCGCCTATGAAGCCAGTATCAATACACTTTGACAAACTCACACCCTCGCGTCAGGCTCAGCAGAGATCCGAGTGCAGATCACGCTAAAAGCTTGTGTTCAGCGCTCGTGTCGTGATAATGTTCCCAGATGACTTTCTACAGTTTATATTTCCGTGCTAATTTTTGTTTTATTGCTCTAACCTCTGGTACGGGCAAAAATACCATCTTGATAAAAAAATGGAAATGCAACTAGAACCCAAAACAATTTTAAAAATCTAATGAAATCGAAGCTAATGAAAAGAACTCAAAGCAAATAAAAAGAACCCAACCAGCCGCACACAAGAGGCAACAGCATAAATAAGTTAACTTCCTAAAAAAAATATCAGTGAAATCCATGAATTTTGATCGGAACTCAGGCCTCCGACACAGCTAGTGCAGCAGACTAAGCACCAGCCTGCAAATGTGCTAGATTTCTACCCCATTTTCGAGCCATGCAGAGTGTCAGCTCCCAGGTATACTGCAAGGATTAGGAGGATTGTCATGGCAAGCGTAGTAGAGAAATCCATAACATAAAACACCGCCAAAGAACCCATCTGCATTCAGTTTCTCGGTTGTTGTCTGACGTGATGTATAGTCATTAGTGTCTATACGTCTGTTGCAGGGAAACGTGTCACGTCCGAAGACGGTACGGCGAGTGTACAGGAGACGGCGAGTGGCGAGCTGACTTCAAGTGGCCAGGAGGTAACAGCGAGTACCCAGGAGACGGCAAGTAGTCAAGCAACAGTGAGTTGTCAGGAGACACCCAGCGCCCCAGGCGGTAGTGAGTGTCGAAGGGATGGCGAGTGGTGAGGAGACGACAAGTGGTCTGACGGTGACTAGTGTTCAGGAGACGGCGACAGACAATAATATAGAAAGCATGGAAATACAAGAAGGCGTCAGCAAGATGGAAGCTAGTTCGGCCACGGTCGTTGTTGCTAGAAGAGTGGAAATGGAGGAAAGTCAACCTCAAGCACTGTCGGCTGATAGTGAACACGAAACTGCAGCTGATTCAAGTCGGCCGATGGAATTCGGAACGAAGAATCAGTTCGGGATTGTACCATCTGCCAATATACCGCCAGAACAGGAAGCGATTAAGGTAGATGCTGTTATCGAAAATCCCTCCAGCGACATAGAAGGAAGTCGCGAGCAACAAGCGATCGAAGACACACGCGATATCGGTAGTCTTGATTCTAGACCTGACCCCGTATATGCGGAATTAGAGCCACCGCTCGTTCGATCTCCGGACCCTTATGGTCTTGAGACTATAGAAGAAGAAGAAGGAGAGGATTTAGAGTCACCGCCGGTTTCAACTCCTGCAGTTGTCGGTCTTGAACCTTTACAAGATGACAAATTGGAGCTCCAGCCTGTTCCGGCTCCTGAAGCTGGTGGCCTGGATAATTTAGAGGACGACGAATTGGGGCCAAAGCCACACGAGTATGAACAAGTATCATATGGCAATGAGCGTCCATATGAGAATTTGCAACATGACAACGACCCTACATATGAGAATGTGCTACATGACAATGAACGTTTATATCGCAATGAACCACATTACAATGAACAGAATAATTTACCCTCTTTTGAAAACCCTATGTATGAAGAGATACCGGCACTGCCCGGTCCAGCTCCTGAAGCTGGTGGTCAAGAACCTTTAGAGGAAGTCGAAAATTCAGAGCCGCCGCCGGTTCGGGCTGCCGCAGCTGGCGTGGCTGGAGCAACGTTTCATAGCGGCGACGGTGGAGTTCCAGGATGTGTGTTGTTACTTGACGGCTGGGCCAGAGCACACGGGGACCCTCCGCCTTCACCAGAGCGATCCATCGATGAAGAATACCAATTAATTCCACCCCCACACCCGGTCACCTACGCTGGTTTTGAGAAACCTATCATTAAGTTGGCCTCGGAACTATTCTGTGTCGGTGCCTTCATCAATGGAGAACTTCCAGATACGGACACGGATTTGCCCCATAACCGTCACGCAAGGAGAATTCCAACACATCAGCGTTGGATGCTGGCTGGGCGCTACTTAGATCCTGCAACCATGAATGCTGAGCTAGGGGACAACGAGGATGACGGAACATACCGTGTTTGCTACTGGAACTATTGCACGGGGACTGTCGCAACTACAACCGGATTCTCCAGCATTGATGCGACAAGTTTGCATATGGCCGTCTGCTACCGTTCAGGGGATTTGTTCTATGTGCATTTCAAAGGAATCGCTAGGCGTGATGACGACTCCACTACCAAGCTCCATCTTATCTTAGCTCTCCGTCGTTCCCAGATAGGTTCAGCACGCGAACAGTATCAACGGTTGAAAGTCGAGCGTGTTCGAGTGCTCCAGGACAACACAGCTGAGGCTCGCTCAGGCTGGGGATGCTGTCCGATTTTATAGGAAAATACAAAATACGATAAAACATATCAGCACTCATTGGCTCTCATTTCACTTTTCCGACAAAAAAAACATTGTACTTCAATTATTGCCGTGGTCGTTAGTAATCTGTGTTGTTACTGTCGTATTGTGTGTCTTCTTGTCTTATTTTAATTGTTATTGTCTTCTGGTCCGTTTAGATTGCTAGGCATGTGGCTCC